TAAAAGATTTTCCATACACCAAAATTTTCATAATTGCAAAAACTTCATTCAACCTCCTTTTTTTTTTTTTTTTTTCTCCTCCATATTTTGTTGGTGAAAAGGACAAAAGAAAAAGATATAATAAATTGACACACACACGGGGCGAGAAAACGAGGCAGTCGGAAGTCTTTCATGACCAGAAACTTATATATATATATATATATATATATATATTCATTGTCTTTGCTGCATTGTCTTGCTCTCGACCATCCCGCGTCACTTGCAATCTTCAACCTTCTCCTTCACGTATTTTTCTTCAACTTATATATTCTCACTGCATGCTTTAAAATCCAACCAAAATAAAGAAAAAAATTAACACCATTAATATCGCATATATTTATACACTAAGCTACAAACTTTCATCCTCCAAAAACCCGACCCTTTAAAGCCAAACCATCTCCTCCCACACACAAACATCATGTTCTTTCTGTTCATCATCTCTGTTTCTCTCACAGACTTCAAATTTCAGGTTTGTGGCTGATGGGTTTTCTCTGAATTGTGTAGGATTCTTAATTGTTTGATTTTCTTGCCTGACAAACACTTTGGAGTTTGTTGTTGTTGCTTTTGAGTTCTGAAATGGGACCGATCAGAGGGTCCAGGAGGAAGAAGAAGGTTGACCAGATTGTGTTAGCTGCTTCAGACTCTCAGACCCTGGAATGTTGGTGGGATGGCTTCTCTCAGAGAATTACTGGTACAAATATTCCTCTGCTGCTACCTCTGTGTTTGTTTTGTTGGTTAATTTGTTTTAATCGGTTGTCTTTAAATATATGTAATTGGTTTGGATATATATGGTTTGTTTCTTATGAGTTATGAGGGCATTTCCTTTTTTTTTTTTTTTTTTTTTTTTTTTTTTTTTTTTTTGGTGTTTGATGAAATATTAAGACTTGGGTTCAATGCAGTTTTCAGAAATTGGATATTTTTGTTGTGACTAGTGAATCATATTTGCAAGTGGATTTCTAGTGGTATATAATCTTACAATCTTACAGTTCTTAGCTTCTTTTGATTCGTGTTATCGAGCTCTTGCTTCGTGCACTCGTTGTTGCTCAGAGCATAGCATTCCTAGTCTGATGACTATTTAGGGTATTATTTTAGGTTTTATGCATTATTCCTTCCATTAAATTTATGATGCTAATAAATAACTTCGTCAACGGTTTCCTTGTTTGTAATTCCGGTTGATATATAAGTAGTTGATTTCTTATTTTGATGTTTCTCTTAGCAGACAATCCTGTTAGTGTTCATGACAGCAATTTGTTCTAAGCATGTGTTGAAATTTTTAAACACGCTGCATTATTTTCGGTGATTAGATTGTGGTATTGTACAATGAATGTTTTTTCTTGAGATAAGATTGTGGTAAATATTCCCTTCCAAGTATATTTCTCTTCATTTTTCTTGTACATTAACCTTAGGTTCCTCAATGTGAGCATACCTGGTCCTCTGATTAGATTCAGGATAACCTGTTTGTATCTTGGCGTTCGTTGGATTTTGCTGAGTGTCGTGGCCTAATAGCGATACTTTAATATGTTTGGATTTTGCGGTTAACATGATCCTGTTACCAAGTACAAATTTTTTGTTTTGAACTGGCCTAGACCAGTACTTCAATCAATCAAAACAAAGTGAGTGGTCTGATTTGGAAAACACTTGTAGGCATATAGCAGAGGGATCGGCAGACAGAGAGCTATGGGGCACCTAGGTTTTGTTTTGGTTGTGTCCTTGGATGACATGGTTAGGTTCAGAATTTCTTTATCTTGTATAGCGAGGCTAACTATTAGCTTCAAGTTATGCAGTTTGCTTTAGCTCCTTTGTTTGAAAGCTATGCAACCGATGTTCTTCTAATGAAAAAGTGAAGAATTCTATGTACTTACCTCATGAAATACGAAAAAATGCAGACTTCTTCATGAAGTCTTTCCAATTTCATATAAGATAGCTTTCGTGCTGAGTATTTACTTCTTATGTGCTGCTCTGTCAACCCTTTAGGGTGATCCTTTGTGTGGAACACTACGGACCTACAGTAACTTGGTCTGATCGGGTGGACGAAATTAAGTCCATAGCCACAGAACTCAAGCAACAGTCGTGCAAAATGAGTGTCCGTATACTTATCTGGATAGAGTCGGTTGCATAAACATTAAAAAAGAAACAGCAATAGCTTTAAGAGAACATGGTATAGGAGTTAAAGGCCATTCCATTAGGGCGATAATCGCTAAACAAGTTTGGAATCACATTTTATCATTTATTCAGGATTTTGGTGTCTGCAGTCTTTCTTGTTAGGAAAGATAGGTCCATCTGCTAGTTGTACAACAGAAAGGCATAAGATTTTGGCGATTTGATCGTGTACCATATACCTATACCTCAAAAGATTAACTTTCCAGCTTTTATGTCAAATGTCCTCTATGTTATGTTCTTCGCTGAGAAACTTAGATTTTCACCTGGAATGAAATACAGTAATTCGACCTACCTTTTGTTCAGCATTGTTCTCTTCAGTGGTTAAGGAGTTGAAGTATATTTTCGACCTTTCGATGATATTTCAGACTATATTTATATTACTTCGCTAACTCTTGCAGGTTAAATGAATTCGATCCTCTTTTGCAGAGGTTTTTCTGATCTTTTGGTTCTGCCAAGGACATTGGCATAAGGGTTCTGAAATTCACATTGATAAATGATTAGATTTTGTTTTCTACTTTCTAGGTCAATCAAAATCTAAAGGAGCATTGAAATTTGAATCTTTCTTCAAATTTCGATAAAGACATTCGCCTACATCTGTTCGCTTGTAAAGGAAGATATGATGGCCAGGTCAACCTTCTGCTACTCAAATAACAAGCCATTATGTCTGAATGACCAAGTTGCTGTCGCTCTTAGGAGGCTCAGCTCGGGTGATTCATTGTGCAGCATCGGTGAATGCTTTGGCATGAACCAATCCACTGTTTCGCACATAACCTGGCGGTTTGTGGAAGTAATGGAAGAAAAAGCTCTGCACCATCTGTCATGGCCTAAAGAGCAGGGTGAAATGAAGGAGATAAAGTCCAAGTTTGAGAAAATTCGCGGCCTTCCAAATTGCAGCGGTGCAATTGACATCACACACATCATGATGACTCTGCCTTCAGCGGACTCATCAGATGATGTCTGGCTCGATGGCGAGGAAAACTGCAGCATGATCTTGCAGGCAATTGTTGATCCAGACATGAGGTTCCGTAACATAATCACAGGATGGCCAGGAAGTCTGAGTGATGACATAGTCCTCAAAAGCTCAGGTTTTTTCAAGATGTCCAAAGAAGGAGATTGCTTAAATGGGGAGAAGTTGGTGCTTTCACAAGGAACAGAAGTGAGAGAATACATAGTAGGAGATTCCGGTTTTCCTCTCTTGCCGTGGCTTCTCACTCCTTACAACGAAAGAGGCCGCCTCTGGGAGCATGAGTCTGATTTCAACAAGCGGATTTCTGCAACGCAGATGGTGGTGCAAAGGGCGTTGGTGAGGCTGAAAGAGATGTGGAAGATAATTCAGGGCGTAATGTGGAAGCCGGATAAGAACAAGCTGCCGAGGATTATTCTTGTTTGCTGTATACTGCACAATATAGTGATTGATATGGAGGATAAGGTGCAAGATGAAATGCCATCGTCTCGCCATCATGATCCCGGTTACCGCCAACAAATTTGTGAATCTGCCGCTGACGATACGGCCTTTCAACTGAGAGAGAATCTCTCTATATACTTAGCCGGAAGATTGTCTCCCTGAGAAGACCCTTGGTTGCATCCTGGATGGTGGTTTCATTGGTTTTTACTTTTTGTAATCTTTGCCAGTTGAAATTGGAGAGTTTATAATCTTTGGGATTTTGCTTTCTTCTATAGAAACTATGTCTTAACATGGTTTTAGTTGAAAAAATGGCACCATATAAATATGGTTCTTTAGCATTCTGAGTACCCATATATTACTATGTGTTACTGTCACATTTGTGTTATTGATCGTCTTATAATGTGTGGATAAATAAAGTTGATATGTCACGAACTGAAAGTATAATATTAATAAATAAATCTATACGTTATAAGATAACTAAACTGATAATACCGCAGAATTGTTGGTGACAATTACACAGAAAAACTTCTCTTATTTGGTTAAAGGCCTAATAGAAAAGAGACGCAATTTTCGAGGACAGCGCCCTTTTGATTATCCAGCATTTTAGGGAACTTAAGTCCAGTACACCGGAGCACCCAAATTATTTTGGCTTCTTTAGTCCCACATTACACCAAACATGACAAGCTAGTCCAAGCCCTAGTTTGGTAGTAACTTGATTATGAAAAAAATAGCTATCAAAAAACGCTTCCAGTTTTTTTTATGTTTGGTAAACATTCAGCTTCAGCTTCAGCTTTTTTTTACAGTTTTGGATGAAAAAAAAGCCAAAAACACAAAGCTGCAAAACCCAGCTTTGAAAAACCAGTTTTCTTTCACATATGTTTTACATAAAAGTTTATCAAACACTATAATATTGCTTTTTTTTTTTTTTTCAAAAGCACTTTTACAAAAAAGTTTACCAAACACTTTGCTGCTTTATTTCACAGCTGCTTATTCTCACAGCACAGCTGAAGCAGTTTTTTTTCAAAGCACAGCAATATCAAACCGGCCCTTAAGACATCTACGTTCTAGCTTCTTGGTTCGGCATTACACCAAAAACAAAACACTGTTAGTTCGACTTAGACCAAGCCAACACAAACCAACATTACTCCTTCAAGCGATCCAGTCCAAAATAGTCATGCGTAAAAAAAAGCATTAGCGGGACTTAAGAGTCCTCCTTAGGTTTAAAATTAACAATGAGTTTGGAAATACTTTTGGCATCACATAGTCGAACATGCGGGACAAGCAACTAAGAAGTTACCACGTGACCACATCCACTCGAATGGGACCGCATGCAGGGGATTTGTGAGATAAAATGGGGACAAAAAGGGAGGCCACTTTCCCTACTAAGATGCAAGCAGGACACAAGTGATATCCATTCCAATAAACCACCATATTGGTTTTGTATATCAAGCCAAAATGAGGTACCAATAATCTACGAATTACAAGTCGAATCATCAACGAAGTGCAATAGTAAACCAAATTGACGATCATAGGGCTATAAACATGTCACCGTAAAGAACAGATTGGATAGTTGAACCTCGTTTCATCGACGATGCTTTTCGTTCAATTAGCACGGCTTCTAATAACATCGAGACCCACTTCGGTTGGATCAGTAGCTTGCAACTCCATCTGAATTCCGTCCAACTCTCTCTTAAACGTGTCCTTCGAACTCGCGTAAATCATCTTGCTTCTCACCTTCGCCGTGTCAGGGGACCTTCATGCAAAAATCTTAAATGAGTGTAACAGCCAAGGAACATATAATGATATTTACATTTAGAGTAATGAACAAGGTCTACAAAGCCTAGAACTCTACACTCTAATTAGTTACCAAGCAACGAAAATAATCCGGCTCTTCTGGCAGTTCTCCTCCGTCACGTAATCAAAGTCATAAACAGCGTATCGGCACTCGTTAGCAGGGAGGCTTGCAGAGAAATCCTCATAGCTGTCAGTTGGTTCGCCAAGCTTTTCCACTATAACCTCATTTTGCTTCTCCTCGATCTTGTAAACTATGAAGCGGTAAGTTCTTTTTGCCTTCAATTCTAAAAACTTTAGCTTGCATTCGTCATGCACAGCCATCCCGGATCTTGCATTTGCCTGCAAATATTCAACGGATACCAAAATGCATCAAATACGAACAACACATCGGCAGTAAATTAGCAATTTGTATGGCTACACACAGAATTTCACTCCACCCTTCAAATCACGGAACATTGAAAACACACAGCAACATTGCAAAAATCCAAAACCAAAACACACCTTGCTATTTTCCCATCACGGTTTATCAACTCTCGGTTCATAGTTAAAGCTAAGAATTACTTGTTTCCTCAAGCATCCCATAATTCCAAACTATAAACAAATCAAATTATTGATAAATCACTGACATACTTATACGGTTATACCTGCCATGAAAAATTAACCACCACTACCACCCAGCAAAAGAAGAAGAAAAAACTGACAAATGCAGAACAAATGCTAAACAAAGTTCAATTTCTTAGGATTCGTTTGGATGCTTTTAAAATTATTGAAAGCACTTTTCATGAAAATACTTTTCGAACAATCCTAAGTAAAATTGTAAGTGAATCCTGAAAAATCACTTTATGGCTTCCTACAAGAAGCACATAACTTTAAGTGCTTTTGGAATCCAAAAACATTTTCTCTAAAAGCGCTTTCAGTTATTTTAAAAGCACTTTCAAACAAGCCATTTTAAGTATTTTTAGTCATTACACTAATCATAACTCAAATTAGTAATCCAAGTTCAAGGCAAAATGTAAAATTCAGGCTCAAAATATCATCACACCATAAAACAAAATTCATACTTTTGTGATTGCAAAACACAAAATTTGCATATACAAAATATATACTTATTGCAAAAATATAAAATCAAATCAAAATTTAAATGCATATGCAACTGCAGAAAGTAATCGATTAATCGTGATTAGATAATCAAAAGGGATGAGATTCGACCATCAACTTCTAACTTACCCGCCATTTCATGAATTTCTCAAAACCAAACAAAAAAATTTCAAAAAAAAATGGAACACACTACAGAGGATCATCAATCCAGAAAAGAACTGAAATTATAACAAGAAAGTGAAACCCCAGAGAGTCAAGTAGATGAAGTGCTCACCATTTTCCCGAGAAATATCGGCGGAGAGAGAGAGAGAGAGAGAGAGAGATGGATAGAGTCTCAGCGGTGGAAGAAGAGGGCTGCGGGTCGCGGCAGGAATATGTGGGAGCTTTCCTCCTTAGGAAGCGTTGCTAATATTACCGTCACGGCAGAGAGAAATTGGGCGGTGATCCAACGATATTTGAACACGTGTTATAGGTTGTGCAATGAGAATTGGCATGCCATTTACGTCAAGTAAGAGGTGGTTTTGCATCCATGGGCTTGGCCCAAAAGTCAGTTCCGGGTCCAAGACTCCATGCAATTAGGGGTGGGCATAAAAACCGTCAAACCGCAAAACCGTATCGAACCGTAAAATTTCAAAACCTGATTAAGAGTGGATATTGCAAGAGGTAAAAGGAGAATACGGAAATCATTCTCCTATTTTTTTCTCGAAACTTATATGGTGTTTAGAGTTGCCGAAATACTGGTGCGATACCCAGACCATAATTATAAAGTTTAAATTGAAATATATACCACAACATAGCTATACCTCCCTCTGGTTTAGATGAATTCTCTCAATTATCTCTTCGAATTAATCGATAATGTTACGTATGATTAAAAAGGAAAGCATTGAAGTACATGAAAGGAGCTTTTCTCAAAAGTGATAATGAGGTGAAGCATTAAGATATAGCTTAGGTGCTTAGTAGTTAATTATAGCACTAGAAGTTATTAGCTATGACAATTTTTCTTGATGTAGCAAGATGATCAGAACCCTCTTCCATAGTCACTTTCTGAGTAATTGACACAGGAACCAAGCAAAGGCCTTTGCTTCTGAGGTCAAGCGCCTGCCCACTCCCAGATTCCTGTTGAAAATTTCAAATTTGTGAGAAAAACTTTATAAAAAATTAAAATATCATGGAAAATATACGTAAATAGGATCAGATACGAAATTTGAATCAAAATTAAAACTGAGGGACAATAAACGGATAGTAAGTTGTATCTGAACTGTTGTTTAGTGCCTCTTTATGTTGACAACCTGGTGCCCTTTTTCGTTTTGGATTAAAAATTTGTAACTGGTTCCATTTGTTTATGTGTCCCAAATATCTTATATATATGTCTTCAAATTAATTCAAGTGCTTGCCGTGCGACCTGTGGGTGAAGAGCCGCAGCATTCTTGTATGAACTACCAAGCATCCTTAGCAGATTCTGCTACAAAAATTAAAAACAAAAACAAAAAACCAACAAGCAAATTTAGCAACTAAAATCTATCTGCAGCATATGAAAATGAAGATATTAATTATAAGTTTATTACCATAATTACTTCACTATATGTATACTTAATACCTGAATTTGTTCTTGGAGGAGCATGATATATGTGGAAGCCTCTTGAAGAACTGAGGCAGTGTCAGTCTGTAATATTATTATACAAGTTAGAACCCTAGTTGTAGTTAATTTACAGAAAATGCAATATTAATTTTTTCTATTTATGCTAATTACCTTGCCGTAGGGGGAAACCAATTTTTGGAGAGCTGTGATTTTGTCACTAAGCTTTTGGCTTCTTCTCACAGGCACATGATGCAACTTCTAGCAAAAAAAAAAAAAAAAAAAAAAAAAAAAAAGGCAAACAGAAAAAGTTCAACAACAAATCCATAGCTTAATTAAATTTGATTAATTAGGATACCTTATTGTTTTGTTGCTCCATTGAGTTTTCTTGGAGCTGTTGATGCCATTGTTGTTGAGAATTATTATTTGTCATCTTGCTTCTCTTATGTTTGTATAATTCGTTGAGAGATGTTCTGTCACCAACAAGACCACCAAAGTCATCAACCTCAATTGGACGTTTCCTTGCATTTTGTATGGCGTGGCAATCCTTCAAGGATTTTACAAAATGGAACAAATTAGGAATTGAAGCATGGTTATTTCACACAAATTCTACCAGATAAGATGCAAATAAAATGGAATCGTCTTCACCCCCATTTGTCTTCAATTTCCAAAAATATTTTGGGAAGTATTTACCATAATGTTTGATATTACCCGACCCAAGCATGACCTTTTCTTAAATATGTAGTTCGGATACATTTTCTGACATTATAAGATACATGTTGATCAAAATTTTATTTGTGTAAGACCTATCATGAGATAATAATCTGTAACTAAAGATAACGTGAACGATTGACATTAACAATGATCAGGTTATTCATTAGTTTGAAATGAAGGACTAGTGAAATTTGAAATTGAGGAAATTCTTGTTAGTTGTTGATTAGGAACTTAGCTACAGACTAATTAAGAAGATCATTGGATCAACATACTGCTTGAAATTGGGGGGCTGAAATCTTTTTGTCCAGAACATTGACTGCTCTGAAATGACATCATATCTCAACGAACCAGATGGATAATTAACTGCAATCAGACAAGGTAATTACTGCAAATTAACCAGGTTCTTGTGTGAATTATTAGAGTTCACTAAATTACAAAATCTTGAAGAGGGGTAGGATAAAAAAAAAGACAAGAAAAATTGGTAAAAAATTAGGCAGAAATTAGAAAAGTTGCTCCTGAAATAGAAACATATGGAAAAGGAAATGCACCAAACCTGCAGGTTGATAGGTAATGAGGGATGATGACTGCTGCAGAGGAAGAGAATAGTCTGCAGCTCTGATGTTATCATGGTTGTCACTTTCGGATGCGTTGGATCCCATGCAAAACCCACTGCCACCACGACAGGGGTTAACAATTATTATTTGGATAAATAATTAAACTAAGATTAATACAATAACCCCAATAATAATCAAAATGAAATTCTAATTAGTTGCTAGGGGACAGTCTTTGTCATTCTTCAGTTCTTGAGAATTTGATAAGTACGAACAGAAATAGATGAGTAATCTAATTGGGAGGATGAGGTTATTATATAATTTCTCAAAATAAGGAGATTAATTCCTATTTATCTCCACAAAAATGTTTAAATTTACGATAAAAGCTTGAAAAGGAAAGAGTGCTTACATTTTGCTGTTCATGTCCATTTGTGCATCCCAATTTGTCATCTGAACATCAATATTGTTTTCTGAAGAAATTGAGAAATAATTGAAATAATCTTATGCTCAAAGTAAACAATACTAATTAAGATTTGTGATGATGATTACCGCAGCTGTAAAGATGGGAGGATAGAGATGGAAGGAGGTCAGTGTTTCTCATTTGAGCCCAAAAAATCCAATCATGCAGAGAGAGTTGACCTTCTATTGATTTTTGAGACACTAGAGTTCTTCTGAAAGTCCTATATATGAACTGCTGAGCCCAGAAACTGACACACATACAGAAACAATGTGATTTAACTGAGAGCACAATGCATGCAAAATAAATATATCAAGAAGAACCCCACAAAAGCGAAAACTGAAATGAAAAGTCTAGAAACCCAAGATTACTTGAAAGAGCAGATTCTTATATACATGTCACCGGGGATATATCTCCTTGTCATAGCACTCATCACGTGACCTGATCAGGTGATGAGTACTACACTCGCAAGAGTTTATACTCCCGGTGAGTGTTTTGCACTCCGAAGACATTATTTGAAACTAATCCATTTCCTCACCTCGGATCTCTTGAAACGAAAAGAGCTAGCCCTGATGAGCTGAGAACTTTTCCCAGATGAATTAGGTATATATTCTGCAGTGAAAAGGCGTGACCTTGAACCTCCCCTTGAGTGCAGCAACGGTTCTTTTCCTTTTGTAGAAAAATGTTGTGAGAAGAAGGTTATATATAATTAGTAACTGTATGAATCATGATCACGAAGGAATATAAAACGTCCAGGTGACTCAGAACCTTATATCTTAATGGTATATGGGCCGGGGCGGCTCTCTCTCTCTCTTTCACTAGCATGTTAACTGTTTGCTTTCGCTTTCACTTAATTTGACTTGATTTCTATTCACAAATTATATGAGTCGAAAATGACTGGTTATTTTACTACTTGATGCAGCTGCATAGTCAAAGCTAAATAAGATGATGGAATGCTAGATAAATGACTCACATTTTGACTCGGTTTCTTTTCTGTTGTAAACTCTATATTGCACACAGTTGCATTCGTATATCTTTCGGGGTTTTTTAGCATGGACCGAGCATAGTATGCACTGGAAACTTCGACTGTTGAAACCTTAGTTGCTAAATCATTGGATATGCACATCTAGTCGTTTATTCATCTAATTCAAACTAGCGATCCATACTAGAATTTCAATAATTTCAGGGTAATTGATGGATATGTACTGTACTTTGATTATGTGCAATCATAATTCAAAGGCATGGATGTGGATGAGCCTACTCAACGTCCGAATGTGCTGCAAGAATATTTTGCAATATTTAAATTCAATAGTTCACTATTAATAGCATCGATGCCTTTTAAGAAAAAAACCCTCCAAGCTGATAGGTTCTTTTGGCTCCATGTACCTTCGCATTGAAATTTATTTATTTTTCTTTAACCTAAGCGGTTAAATTTAATACAATATTAGTACTGGATGGTAAATTAACATGTTGTACAACAAATGATATTAGAGACGTTTTGATGATCAGTTGATGGAACTCAAATTGATGTTCTAACACTATTGTCAAGCCTAGATGAACTGCAGAATGAGGGGAATATATTGAGGACAGCAATTTCGGATCACTTACCGAAACTGAATGTGGGTCTAAAATTAGGCCATTGTTCTAATTTTGACATTTGTGAGTGAGCAATATCCTGATTGTGATCTGTTTGTTTTCATAGTCTTTCACGTGAATATATGGATTTTTTAGAAGCTTTTTCTAATTTTGATAATAGCTAGGGAACCAGGTAATTAATAATACAACTTTGGAACTATTTTCTTTTGGTTGATTCTTCTATACCTAATTTTCTGGGTGCTACCAACTCATAGGCAGAAAAGGGATGAAATTGCTACTTTAGTACTGTATTGAGTTCATTGTTTCAGCTAGTATTACTTATGAAATTGAATCTGTAACTTATAAGTGAGAAAAAACAAAAAAATATAAAGCTTCTTAATTAAAACATCATGAATAAGCCAAGGCTAGTCAATCTGAATGTTTGGGTAATTATATCATTTGGTATTTGCATTAATATTAGAATTTGGAGACGTTCTTAGGAAATACAAAAGTTCCAAACAATTTGAAAGTGAAAGGCATTTTACTTTTTTGGAATAGCTTTTTGGCATGTCTGTTACACTGTCACGTAATGTTACTAATCAGTTTTTCAGTATGACTGTCACTCTGTCACATATAATGTTACTAATCTACATACTATAATATGTATTTTCTCCCGGCCCTTCCTGTAAAATTAATAGGCTTAAATGTCAAAATGGTCCATGTGTTTTACTATACCGGTTAATTTAGTCATTGTGTTTTCAATTTGGCCAAATTGGTTCCCGTGTTTACATCCATTAGCCAATTCAAGACAATCGGTTAAAGAACCGCTAAAATTGGCACATGCATGGCACGTGAGAGGACAAAAACATAACTTTATTGTACCCCCACTAAACATACACAATATACGATGCCTATATTTGGAAATTGATGATTTGTTTCAATTCACTTGAATACTAAGCGATTTAGGGTTTTAACATCCATTTGATCAGAAATCCAGAGATTATGGGATTGCCGACTGAGTTCAACAACGTCACACTTGATGTTTGAACAGAACCTATGCCTAGCCCACATGTTTGGATCCCTCTGTTCAACCAATCTCTAGAGTAGCCACCAAAAGCTTAGTCGGCAACCCCACAATCATTGGATTCCAACCAAATGGATGTTGAAACCCTAAATTGCTTAGTATTCAAGTGAATGGAAATGAATCGTCAATTTTCAAAGATAGGCATCGTATATTGCGGTAGGTTCATGTGTACAAATAAAATTACGTTTTTATCCTCTAACCTGCCAAGCATGTGGCAATTTTAATGGTCCTTTAACGGATTTTCTTGAATTGGCTAACGAATGTAAATACGGGACCAATTTGGCCAAATTAAAAACACAAGCAGTAAACTGGCCGATAGAGTAAAATACATGGACCAGACATTTAATTCCATCACTTTGCTATGAAAAGGATAATGCTAAGAAGATCAAATTTTTAAACTAAGTTTGCAAATCAAATGATGTGTTTGTTGATGATTAGATTATTACTTAAACATTGATTAACATGCTTATTTCCTATTGGTGACACATCATTTGGTTTGCAAATTTAGATTAAAATTTTGGTCTCCATATTATTACCAAATATATTCGTTGAAAGAATTAGACTATATATTAATTTGTCTTCTGTGCCTGGTCTTATTAACTTGATTCCACTTGTTAACAAAGCTTAATTTTGACCTTTTCGCAAAATTGGGTCGAAAGTTAGTTGACCAATGTCCAATAGCATGATGCAAATGAATGAACAATAATTAATCACCATCTCTTTTTCTTGTTTGGTTGGTCATTCTCGGACCGTCCTAGGTGTTATAATTGTTAATTATCCTATCTCCATTAATAATATAGTTCAGAAAACAATGTTATATAATATAATATTAAGAAATATGCTCGATGAGATTGTTAATATTTTTTGGCTTATCAAACTTTTAATCAGAAGCGTATACGAGAAGTCGGGGATTAAAGAACAAGAGTATGTTTTTTGGTTGTTGTGTTTATTTTACATATCGATTATCGAGTCTCTAACGAATTTTACAGTCTAACATAACATGTAAGAACGAGAATTGTTATTCAGAATACTCTTAATACGTTATTGACAAGATACTCCCCGTTTTAGTATTGGGCCTTATAATTTAGACCTAATTTCATTTCAATGGAGGCTCATTTTGATAGTAATGTGAGATAAGGATAATGCTGAGGAGACTAATTCTGACAAACTAAATGATATGTCGTCAATATAAATAAGCACGTTTATTAACGTTTAAGTAATAATCTAATCATCAACTTTCATGTAATTTATTTTACAAAATTTTATCTACAAATATAGTCTCTCTAACATTAATCGTAATATAAACATGACTAAACAAAGGTAGAGAACTGTTGTCATCCTAAAACCACTACATGTTATGGTTTTATATGCTTTTATTCTCCTGCAAGGTTATATGTTTTTATTCTCCTGCAATCTTAATAAACAAAAAACTAAGTCAACCTCTCCTAATTTGGTGTCTAGCAAATATTAACAATCTGCAAAACATTCATATAGTGCCATGTGTCAGCGTTTAATCTGATGTAGTTAAGTTGGAAACTCTTTAGAATTATATCGCATGGTTGAGTCCTGTGACTGCTGCAAATCAAACCCTACACTTGTGTTGTTATTTGAGAGACAGAATCAGAACACGTGAACATTAGTTTAGTAGATTATAAAAATAAATAAAAGCTGCAGGATAGTTTTATCTTAAACATTGGGGTTGACTGACCAGGTTGAAAATCTGGAAGTCAAAGCTGGAGATTGTCATTTAGGTTTTGTATTCGACCTTGAAAATAAATTGGAATTCATCGGTATAAATAGCTTCTCGATGTTTAGACGAACGAGTCTTCCCCCATGCAAATTAATATATAAATTATGTTAATTAGTCTTCTGCTTAACTATTAAATTATGCATGGTCCACTATCAAAATACAAGATTAAACGAATTCCTCCATGTAAATAATAATAATAATATTATTATTATGACCTTAGGTCTATTTTATTATGGAAGTCAATCCCCAAATCCATCCCTCAGTGACTTAGTCGACTCTCTCTTGGTATCCATATGATCAATCATATCATTATGTTTGTGATAATTATCTGCAGGCCTCTATATTAAAGGAAATGTTGATGGGAATGCATGTAAGAATGAATTCGAGACAACTAGAACAACATAAGCCTCATCCCATGAACCAAAAGATCAAGCAATTAAATTACAGTATTGACTAACATATGAAGAACAAGGAATAAATCATATATGACAGTAAACTGACCTGCCGACATATCATTGATGTAGAAGCCATTTCCATACCCGTCAAAGCCTTCTCTTCTCTGCAAATCTCAATGCTCTCCTAAGAATAGGTTATTGGTTCAAAAGTGAGAGTGTTATTTGTGAGAATAGCAGCTTGTGCCCTATTACAATTCTATAAGGAATACAACACTACATTCCATATACCGGTATGAGTTCTATATATATGCAAATACAATAGTTCTCAATATATATATCCCAATACAAATAGGATTACCTCTTGCTGATATGATTAAGACATCTTTACAACAATGTTAATTATCCCAATACTTGTAAGAATCATACTCATACTCTAACAATGCACACATAAGGTACACTATTATAGCAAGGATCTTGTAGTTCAAACAATTATTAGTGTTTACTTTATGCACTCATATTTCTTTGTTTGAATCTCTTTTGAGTGTCTGAATCATTATTTCATTGTCTATATATTTAGAGAACTCATTTTGTTAAGTCAAAAACTGTCATCCTAACCTTATCTATATAGAAGTGAAGATTGACATTTTTATAGTGTCAATAGTAGCTCTCTTTTATTGTGATAAAGTTACCATCCCATTTTACTATCATCCATTTCAATATGACATTTGCCCAACCATACGATAGAAGCTACATATTTGATTTTTTTTTTCTTTTCCAAATTCTAAGCTACTTTAGTTTTGCTTCGAATTTGAATGTAAGGGGCGACCGCACTACTCTGAACAACTGACATGACTCACATATTGTCAAAGAAGATGAAAACTAAACGATTATCAAATGTTGGATTGCCTTACATCATACCATAATGAACATACTATTCAAAAGCC